CCCCCCCCCCCTCACCATTCTGTCTCTGCACCCAGCCTTCCCCCGCTTTCCCTCCATAATGGTGGGAACATGCTCCCTGGAGCAGACCACCTCGGAGAAGGCCGTTGGGGCCTATCCCAGGTACCGGGCAGGGCTGGAGGGTTCATATGCACGCAGGGTTCGAGCCGTGTGCATACAGAGAAATGTTGCACATGGTTGGCTTCTCGGCTTACGTGCTTTTTCTTTCTTTCTTTTTTCTTCCTGTTTTTAGAGGTTTTGCCTTAGGGCTCATGTACTTGCGGGTCAGGTGGGGAGACAGACACAGTGAAAGGGGAGTGAGGAACCACGGCTCAGGGGTATGGCTACACTGCAGCCCCTTCTCCTCCATCCTGTCTAGGATCTTGGGCACACACACAGATGTGTGCCTGGCACGAGTTGCAAACCACCGGGTCTGGGACTCGAACTCGGTTTAACCAGGTGGGAGCCCAGCAACGTAGCCGCTACACCACGTGTGGGCCCCCATACGTGCCTTTTTGAAAAAGGTCTTGCCAATGCGTCTGTCTCTGAAAGTGTTGGAGATTATTTTGGTTTGATAATTTTCTAGAACCCAATGACGAAGTTACAGCTGGCTCGTGAAGTTGTTCTGCTGGGATGGGGCTCCCACGGGTCAACGAGTCCTCTTGGAGTTTTCAAGGGGGTTGAAACTACTACCCTGAGAGTCGGAGAGTGGGGACTGCTCGAGCCCTGGGATCTAGAGCTGTCGTGTCCTGGCCTGCCTGCTTACTCCTGAGGCCTGTCGTGGGGTGAAGTGGCTGCTGCAGTCCTGGGGCTGGAGCACCGGACAGCCAGGCTGCCCTGTGAGCAGCTGTTGGTTGGTGTTTCTCTTCCTGCACACCCGCTGGACTGGCACCTGGTAACTCCGACCCAGTGTGAGGGTGAGAGGCAGAGGACAGACCCAGCTGGCCCCCTCACCCAGTCCTCGGGGAGCCCTGGCTATGTTGGAGACATCAGATTCCTTGAAGGCAGGCCGGAGTCTCGGCCTGGGAGCCAGCCCGGGCATGGCAGCAGGTGCCCGCCCAGCAGCACAGGCTGTGACAGAGAGCGGCAGGGTGGCGGGGAGGATCGGCGGGCAGGGGCTGGACACAGCACCGGGTAGACACTGACTGCCGACCAGCCGGGTGGGCCTGTGAGCTGCCACCTCCTCACGCCTCTGCCTGCCTGCATCATGTGCTGACGCAGAGACCCCGGATCGGGTGACCCATCGAGGACAGAGGTTTCTCTGACTCGAGGCTCTCGTGGCTGGAGGGCATCATGGCACGGCCCCAGAGCAGAGAGGGTGGGCATGCCTGGGACGACCGGGGGCCATCCCCTTCTACAACCTCTCTGAGAGTCTGCGCACGGTGACAGTGTCAATCCACCTGTGACAGCGACACCTCCAGGATTCAGTCACCACCCGCCAGGCCTCAGTGCCGTCATCCAGGCACCGAGTTCCAAACCACGAACTCCGGGGAGCAGGCCATGACCAGAAGCCGGAGACACTGTCAGCCTGGGCAGAGAGCCAGGCCCCAGAGGTGTGCCGGACACTCACTGTCCACAGCTGGAGACGGGGGAGCAGGGGTGCAGGATGCTGGGACATCGTCGGGTCACCGGAGACTCCGTCTTCCCTGCTCCTGGCCTCAGGATGTCATGGGCACCACATGGGCCCGAGGGAAGGGTGGTGACAACATTCCCAGTGGGAATTTCTCAGGGAATTGGAGACCCATCCGTGGTGAGGCTGTGGCAGCCCCAGATGACGCTTTGTTGGATTTAGTAGTGAAACCCCTTCCTACGGTGAGACATGGCTGTGAGTGCGGGGCCGGCCCCGTTCTGCTGGGGGGCTGCCCAGTCTGCTGGCACCTTCCTGCCACGTTCCTTAGCAACACGAGCTGCTGAAGGAGCGACGTCCGATCAGACCAAGTTCTGACACTGCTGTGCAGGGGGCAGTCTCGCCAGATCGCTTGGTATCCTTCTTGCCTGGACTGTGACGTAGCAGGAAGGTAAACGGAAATAGCTAATAGCGGGTTGGCCCCGGCGCAGCAGTAACGCGCTGTTCAGGAGAAGTGCGATCCCGCGTGGCGGCGGCAGTTCGGATCCCCAGGCTGCTCAGCTGGAAATACGCCAGGCATGGGCACAAGGGTCCAAGATCCCAAGGCTGGAGGAAGGGGAGCGTGGCGTGGCCAGACCTGGAGGACAGCGCTCTTTTCTCTCCCTCTCTCCCGTGCACGCACACCAGATCGTGAATAAATAAAACAATAATAATAAGTTAAAATGTAGACATGCAGTAACTGATGCCAACGAGCACTTGCCGTGTGCCAGACCCTCAGCTGAGCGCCGAGCGTGCATGGTTTGATCCCGCAGCAGCCCCTTGGTGGTTAAAGCCCCTCACGTCCAGTTATACCCCGGCCACACTCATTCTTCCCACGGCGCAGCCGAGGGGCCTGAGGTGTGGAGTCACAGTGGCATGCAGCTGACGAGTGGTGGTCGGGACTCGAACCCCGGCAGCCTTGCTGTTGGAGTCGCTGTGCTTACCCACCACACGGTCCTGCCTGCTGTCTATCCTGGCTGCTCTGGGTGTAAGCAGACAGAGCCGTGTGGGGACTGGCTTTAACAGGACTTGGCTTTCTGTTGCCACCAACAGACGCTGTCGCTCGTGCTCACGGCTGCCTCAGACCCCGTGGGTTTCAGACGCTGCAACGCCAGCCGCGCTTGCCGCCCCGGCATGACTTACAGGAGAACTGGCCTGCCGAGGGGAGAAGTCTGGATTAGGAGCGACTCCAAAAACCCCTTCTCGTTATTAATGACGGCGCGGCTTTCCGGGCGGTAGAGCGTGCCCCTCGGTTTCCACGTCTGGGACCGGCTTTAACACTCCAGACTGGAGGAGGTAGCGCTGGGAAGGTGACTTGGTGAAGTCACGCACGGGCCATCACACACAGCTCTGGACAGCGGAGTGGAGGGTGCCCCCGTGCGTCCACACGGGAGGTGCGGCCAGGGTGGCCTGCGTTTTCCTGTTTGAGCAGGTTCTGAGGAGCTTATCCATTGATTTGAAATCAGCGGTCTACACTCGAGTGGGTTTGTCCTCACACGCCTATTTGCATCTCGTTTACCCTCTTCATTTTTCTGACAGGTGTTCTCTAGGGCGTCCGCTGCTGGGCAGAGTTAGCCGGCTCTGGGTTTCTGGCCTCAGAAGTAGCCCCGGGGTGCTGCAGCGCCTGCGGCCGAGCGGGTCGGGGTGCCCAGGGTGTCTGCAGCGCGCCTCTCCCCGGAGGCCTCGTCGGAGGCCCTTCCAGGGAGCTTGACTGCAGCTCTCTCCCCGCAGCCGGTGCAGGGCTTCGACTACGCCAAGCAGCACCTGGGCCAGCAAGGGGCGGACGACGAGGCCATCCCTGTGGCGCAGGAGACCGTGGTCCTCCCGCGGCCCGTCAGAGATGCACCGCAAGAAAGGGACCTTGCTCCAGACGGGAGCACCATCAAGACCGCCAAGTCCACGGAGACCAGGAAGAGGTAGGCCGAGCCGGCTTTGCCCCTTCGTGTCTGTGACAGAAACACGGCTGGCCCTCTGCGCTCACGGGTTCTGCACCCGCAGATTCAACCAGTGTAGGTAGTTTGCAAAGAAACTGCCGTGCTATACTGAGGGGTCCAGACGTTCCTCGTCGTCCTTCCCTGGCGTAACGGCGGTTCACAGCATGTGCACTGCCCTGGGCGTTCCGAGGGCATCGTCGGAGGCAGCTGACGGAGGGGGGCGCGAGGCTTACTGTGCAGCCGTCCCGGTGACAGGCCCAAGCTTCTGCAGCTTTGGCGCCCTTGCAGGTCCTGGGACTAGTTCCCTGTAGATCCCCAGGGCTGGGTGCTGTAGTGGATTGTGAGAAAGCCACCTTAGGGGAATTCCACCTTACAAATTCCCCGTCATGCTCACTCTGAATATTTGCAGAGGAAACCAAGGAGCTGACAACGACAACGCGTGCTGTGTGAGCTGCCCTATGTAAAGGTTCGTGCCACGGGTCAGCCGTGACAGGAGAGGGCCAACCCTCACGGTCACTGTGACAAATGTGGTGTTGCTGTCTCACTTGTCTTTAACTTAGCTTCCAAGTAGGGCCCATCTCGTATTTTGTCTGGCAATTTCTCGATGGCATTTCTGATTGCAGCCAGAAGCATTTATTGAGCTGTACTGTGAGCTCTTCATCGGGCATTGGTGGGACAAATGCATGAGATCAATTCCCGGGCCCAGATCTCAGAGTAGAGGAGACAGATTAATAACGAATACCAAGCAGGATGTGCGGATGTCCACAGCGGAGTCTGAGTAAAGGGCAGGAGAAGAGAGAAGAGGGTGGGCTGGCCGCATGGCCTAGTGGTTAAGGGAGCCAGATCCCACATGGCCAACTATGCGGTTTGAATCTCAGCCCTGGTGACGAAAAAAATATGGTGGCTACATGGACATACATGCCAGAATCCCCAGGGTGGAGAAACAGAGAAGCGATGAGACGTGACCATGCCCCGTTGGGGGGTACCTTCTCCCTCGCCCTCTGTCTCTCTTGTCTTTCTCAGCGGTGCATGCACCCCCTCCTCTGTGATTAAAAAACAATGAAAGAGAGGAGGGAGAACTTTGACCAGGGTGGTCACTGGGAGACCACACTCTGCCCAGGGTGTGAAGTTGTTGTAGCTGAGCCTCGAAGGGTCAGCGGGACCTGAGCGGGTGGGGAGACGTGGAGATATCCATTCTGAGAGCTGCGGGAGAGAGGGACAGACGTGCTCTCTTAACGGTGATGTCCCTGCGTTCAGAGTTTTAGTGGGACGTAGCAGAGGGCAAAACCAGCAGGGAGAAATTGTGGAAGGGGTGACTGCCAGGCCAAGGAGGCCGAGCTCACCCTCCAGGCGGTGGGAAGCCACGATGTTCTATAGGGAGACAGTGATGTCCAGCCTGCATTCCAGGAGGACTGTTCTGGCGACGTGGGTGACAGGTGAGACAGGCTAGGTCAGAGGCCAGGAGACCACTGTGAGGGGTTGGCACCAGCCTGGAAAAAGACACTGACCGCTGGCACAGGCCCTGCTGACTGGGCAGCCAACACCCTGGTCCCTCCTCCCGTGCCTGAGACTGCAGGGAGGTGAGAAAGCCCCATGCTCCCCCTCCCTGCACTCCACCCAGCAGGTGTTATTAACCACTATTAACCACTCGCTGTGGAGTTGAGAAAGCTCTGTGCTCCCTTCCTACCCCCCACCCGGCAGGTGTTATTAACCACTCACTGTGGAGGTGAGAAAGCTCCGTGCCCCCTCCCCCCACTCAGTAGGTGTTATCCATCACTCCTGGCTAGCAGCCCTGGGGTCGCGGCAGGGAGCCAGGCAGAGTTCCTGCTCTGTCTCAGTCTGGCGGGGAGAATGACCACAAACGGCAGAAACAGGCGAGGTGGCCATGGGTGCAAGGAAGGAATCCGGGGTGCAGGAATGGGGTAGAGAGAGGGAAGGGTGTGTGGTGCCATTTGAAGGAGGAAGCCAGGGAAGAAGGGCCTCTCGGATAAAGGGACATTTGAGAAATCCGACTGAAATGAGTGTAGGCCACGAGGCTCTGTGGGACGATGGAGCGGTGTGTGCAAAGCCCAGAGCAGGGAACTTCTCGACTTGCTTAAAGTGAGCAAGAGGCCAAGGAGGCTGGCTGGTGAGAGCGGGGGAGGAAGTGCCTGCAGGTGAATCGGAGAAGTTGCCCAAGGCCAGCCATGTCAGGCTGGGGAGACTGAAGTCAGGACTTGGAATTTATTGTGGATGGAGATCAGAAGTCACTGGAAGGTTGAAGAGCAATGACGTGGCGTGCCCCCAGGTGTAAAGGCTTGTTCTGGCTATGGTGAGGAACGCTGCAGGTAGGGAAATGCACCGCAGTGTCACAGACTGGGAGCACGTCAGGGGCTGCCGTGGTATTCCGGGGGCGGGGGTGTGACGAGTGCCGCATTCTAGTTTCCTTTGAAGGAAGAACTGATATTTGCTGATAGAGTGCTATAGGATATGGAAATACGAGGGGTCTTCAAAAACTCACGGGAAAGACAATACCTACTATGAAAAAACCATGTATGGACTTACAATCTTTTTAGAGTAAAATACACTCATATTTTCATTCTGTTTTACCATGAAATTTTGGAAGTCCCCTTCATAGAAATGAATTTGCCATTGCTGTGTTGAAGAAGGCTGGAGGGGAAGTTTGTAAGGCGCTAGAGTGCAGATGGGAGCATGGTGAGTGTGTGGTGCCCGCTAGATGCTCAAGGAGACATGTTGGGAACTCGTTAAGCATGGAGCTCAGAAGTCCGGGGAGAAATGCAGATGTGGGGCTGTCAGTGTTCAGTTAGCCTGTGAGGCTGGAAGGGGTCACCCAGGACGTGTGGGTAGAGAAGAGATCTGAGAACTGAACCCTGGATGTCACAGCGATAGAGACCCACAGCAGAGGGAAGAACCAGCAAAGAAGAGAGACACGAGGAGAACAAGGAGGATCCGGAAGTTGGTTGGGCGGATACCGTAATTTTCCAAGTTTGGACAATTGGCAGCAGAAGAACCAGAGGCCTCTAGACCTGCCTCCTGAGTGTCCCCACAGCGGGGAGGCAGGTGGTCTTCACATGTGTCACCCACGGGCTGGCAGACCTCATCCGGGCCTCTTGCGAGCTCGTTCCTGCAGAGGTCTGGAGATCAGTGTGGCCGCAGGGCCGCGGAAGGCAGGCCCGTGCTTGCTGGTGAGAAGGTCTGCCTAGCCCAGGTCCTGCAGGAGCAAAGCGGAAGGGGTTCTGGGGTGCATGCGGTGAAGGGCCGGAGTGACTCCACTTCTTTCTGGGCGGCTCCATTTTGTTAAACCCACCTTGCTGAGAATCAGTGCCGTCTCAAGGGGGCAGCTGATCACGTAGGAGAGGGTCATGATGAGAAGAACAGAACAATACCAGAGACCTCAAGTCACTTTCTTGCCCAGCTTAATGGTCTGAAGACCAATCAGTAAGGGACGACTTGCTTCTGAAAGTCTACAGCCAACGTATAGCTGTGTGAGTCCTTCCTCAGTGCCCCTCGACCTCTCCCTCAACCGCAAATAAAAACCCAGCCCGACTAACACCGGGCTCTCAACTCTGACCCACTGTGCCGGTGAGATTGAGAGTCCTGGCTCGAGCCCGAATAAAAATGACCGTCGTGTGCTTACAGCAGATTCGGCTCCTTGTGGTTTTTTGGGAATTCTGCGACTAGGGCACTACAGCGGAAGGTGTCCTACCACTGCCCAACTGCCTGGACGACATGCTTCACGTTCCTGACTGGCTAAGCAGAGGTGGCGGCCACCAAACTGTGGGCTTGTCGTGACGGTCACGGGCAGTTTGAAAGCACTAGCACCGCCCTGGGTCTGTAGGTGCCCTGGGGAGCTCGGGAGGCCCGGGGTGGTGTCCAAGGTCTCCTCTGCCTGTGCTCCGGGCTGGCCAGAGTCAGTGCACAGGCATATCCCCGAGTGACCACGCCGCTCAGATCGGTGGAGACGCGTAAGTGGTTTCCTAGTCACTGCGTGTGTGAGACAGCGAAGCCCCGAGTGTGGCTGACGAGCTTTGGCGGTGAGGGTCTGTGCCATACAGAGGACAGCTGGAAGAACCGTGTTTTAAGCCTGTTTCTGCAGGGTGGCACCTCCATGCTCGCTGCCTGCCCCTCGGAGCCCAGCCCTGGAGCAATGAGCTGCCTAATGGGCAGCAGCCAGGGTGGTTTTGGATTGGGGGCTTTTCCTTTGTTCTTTGTCAATAGGACCGGAACAAAAGGCTGCAGACATAAACTGCAAATGAAACGACCTTGAGGGGTGGCAGCTCTGGTGGAACTTACTGCTCCCCTGTTGCCATGGTTACCTCCAGCAGGTCGCCCAGTGAGACCGGCTCTGTCATCAGTAACGAATCAGGGAAGCGCAGCTCAGGGAGACGCTCACCCCAGAACGCAACCGCGCAGCCGAAGGCGCTGAAGGAGGAGGCCAGGAAGAGAAACGGTGAGACGCCTGCGCCAAGCACGCCGAGCCCCTCCTCCCTGCAGTGCACATGTATGAGCACGCGTGCACACACGCACACTGGGTGCTCCCCCTCAGCCTTCTGTCCACCTCCCAGGGGCCGGAGCCCGCCTGCACCTCCGGAGTATCCGCTCACCTGCTTCTCCATGTCATCCTCTGACCAGCCCCTCTGCCCCTTCCTCCCTGGGGAATCATGCAGTTCCTGAGAAAAACGCGTTACAGGGCCAGCAGATGGCATAGCGGTTACGTCACTGGACTCCCATGTGGCCAACCATGGTTTGAGTCCCGGACCCGGTGCCTCAAAAGTCATGCTGGGTGCATATTCACGCGTGTCCCAAGTCCTGGGAGGAGGATGGAGAAAGGATTGTGCCGTGGCCATCTACCCCTGGGGCGGGATTTCTCACTTTCCCTCTCACTATCTCTTTCTCTGTCTCTGCAGTGAGCACATATGCCCTTAAAGAATTATTTAACATTTATTTACTTATTTGTTTATTTATTTATTTAAATTTGACCAGAGTGACAGAGAAAGAGGGAAAGTGAGAAAGCAAGCAGCCAGGTCCAGGACTCGAAGCACAGTCAGCCATGTGGGAGTCCAGCGCCCTTAACTACCAGGCCACCTGCCAGCCCCGAAAAATTTCTTTAAAAAAATGTGGAAAAAGAAAAGTGCTTTAGAGTGCAGGGACGCTTGCTTGGGGAAGGCTTTGATTCTGGGGGAGCCGAGAGGGCTGCAGCCCATTCGCTATGGCCCACGAACTTGAGCCCTGGGTTTCCCCAGCCCTGAATCGTGGGCATCCTAGGAGTCACACAGAATGTACATTCCCTGTCAGATATGCGGGGCTTTCCTGGGATATCCGTCCCCCCTCCCAGGACAGCAGAACCCCGCCCCCCACCACCTGCAGGCCAGCACACACACGCGGTTGGAAGAGATCTGGGGCGTCAGAGCAGCCGTGATGCATTTGTGCATAGAAAAGGGTAGAAAAACACATCACGGCTTTCTTACAACCCAGGAGAACCTGGGAAGGGTGCCTTGAACTCAGCCACTTCTCTTCTTCCCAGAGCGAGGGGCTGAGAGGTGAGTGGAGCGGAGGGGACAGCAGAGATGGCAGTGAAGCCACAGGAGGGTGTTTACTTAAGGACAGTGGCAGCCTGCCCTCCCAGCCCCTTCCCCTGCCTTCCGTCCCCTCCCTGCCTGTGAGGACTTGCTGGAAGTTCATGAAGTCAGACAAAGACCATTCACTCCCCTGTTGCCACGTTCATCCCCCAGCCCTGAGTACCTCAGTGCGTGTCTTTCTCTGACTGTTCACTATGCATACAACACCCGTCTTTGCTTTTCATTGTATTTTTTTGTCATATATACATGGGATCAACGGGCATGTTGCCCTATGCCCTTTTCTTGCTCATGAGCGTCCACTATGCAGACTCTTCTGTCGGGTGGTGCACATTTACCAGGAGTGCTTCCCTCCCTGCGTCTAGCCTTAGGACAGATGGGGGGTGGGGGCGTCTAACCTTAGGACAGACGGGGGCAGTGCTCGCGCGCCCCTCCCACCCCGTTTTTAGCCCCCGTCAACATCGCCGTCCCCATGGTCTGCCTTCTCTCCCTCCCTCGGGTCCCGTTCAGGACATGTTCACTGTTTAACTAGCAGTTCAGGAGCAGTGGGCAGTCCGGGAGTAGTGGGCAGTCCGGGAGCGGTGGGCAGTTCAGGAGCAGTGGGCAGTCCGGGAGCGAGGTTCAGCTGCCAGCAGGTCGAGTGGTATTTGTCAGCTGCACTGAGAGGCCACCCTTCTGGGTTTAGGGTCTTGCTCAGCTGCATTTTATTTCTGCCAAAGGTGAGCCCAGTGTGTTCCCAGGGTCGGCCGCTCCTGCTTCTCTGCAGTGAGCCATTCGGTAGGTCTGAATTTGAGATTTTCAAATAGAAACGACAGAACCAGCTCGTTTTGTGTTAAACTCAGCAGACACAGAAGCACACTTGCCCGAGTTCTTGGATGGCTCTTCCAAGACACCTCCCCTTGTCCCCGTTAGCAAGGGTTTTCCCTTCGTGCTAGGTTAGGGTTAGTCAGTCAGCAGTGTGTTTTGCTGGACTGGAAAATGGACCCAGGGAAGAAGGAAGGAGGAAAGACGCTATGGGATAGAACTGCAGAGACCATTTGGAGCAGAGGGAACAGCTAATGAAAGATTCCTGAGTGAGAGCAAGCCCAGTGTGATGAAGAAGGCCATCGTGGTTGGAGCAGAGTGGACAGAGGGAGCGATAGGAGGCCAGCACCTGACCAGGCCGTGCAGACCAAGGAAAGCCTCTCTTCTTTACTCTAAGCAAGAAGCCTTGAGAAGGCTCTGATCAGAGAGGTGTGATCTTGCTTCCTGTTGGAGACATCCAGTCTGGCAGCTGGTGGAGCATACATTTTAGGGTAGGGGGAAAAGAGCAGAAGCCCAGAGTGCAAGATCGTATGGAAGCGTCTGCTATTTATTGCTGCGTAACAAAGGGGCCCAACACCTAGCAACCTATTTGGGTTGTCAGAAAAGTCATGATGTGTTTTTTCAGTGTTCTTCTATGCAAAAATGAGTCTTGACTTTTCTGACAGCAATGGAATGGCAGCTTGTTTGTGGTCTCACATGTCTGCGGTCAGGGTTTAGGGACGGTTCAGCTGGGTGGTTCTGGTCAGGGTCTCTCATGCAGTCCCAGTTGAAATGTTGGCCTGGGCTATAGTCATCGAAAGCCTGGCCTTACATGATGGCATGCTCCTGGCTCTTGGCGGCAGGCCTCAGTTCCTTGCCATGTGGATCCTTCCACAGGGTGGCTTGAGTGTCCTCGAAATGTGGCAGCTGGCTTTCTCCAGAGTAAGCCCTGGAGAGAGCAAAGTGGAAGCCGTACTGTTTTGCTGACCAGGGCGCAGAGGTAACAGTGGCCACCCTGCGGTCTGCCCGCATGGCCCTGCGGGGTGTCAGAGCTGTGTGGAGGCTGCGTACTGCAGGTGACCTTCACAGCAGCTGCCCAGGCGAGAGGGAATGGTGGCCAGGTGAGTGACCAGTGAAACTGCACTTTAAAGCCATGTGTGTGTTTGGTAACAGAGCGACGTAGGGATCGTTCTGTCACTGGCTGCTTGGTGGCCTGCTGTTTGCAATCAGGTCCACAGAACCAGAAAAAAATTCCAATTATAACCCGTTCTTGGACTCTAAGGGTGTCCCAGCCACGTGGTGAAATAGCAGTTTACTTGGCTTAATTTGACAGCTCTTCTGTGGTCCTGGTAAATGACAGAATGATGGAATCTATGTGTTTCTCGATAGTATGAACACCATCCTGGCCTCTCGCAGAGAGGAAAGACAGATAACTCCCGTTCACAACCTACTTTCTGTATACCTGTCTTGCTCCTAAATTGTCTCTGGGTTTAGTTGTTTGAAAGCCTTCATTTATCATTGGCCGAGCCATGCTCAATAAGCTGTTATTCTGAGTTATGTAATAAGCTTTAAGAACAAGTGAATCAGCAAGGCCCCACTGGCCCTGGAAGGCGCCGGCACTCCTGCAGCCTCGGTAGGACACGTGAGACAGGCTGGTGGCGCAGCGTCTGTCAGGAGACCTAATCGGACAGATGTAGGTGGAAGCTGCTGTATTTGATGAGAGTTGTCTGCAGCTTTAAATCGGTTTCTCCGGTAGTTATTTCAAAGCCCTCTTTTGTTTTAGACCAGTGAAAGAAATCCAAACCCCACATGGCTGGGGACCGGCCCTCAGTAGGAGATGGCGTCCGTGACGATGGCTGGGTGACAGGAGGCCTTCCCACCTGAGTAGTTCGGGTGGCAGGAACCGAGCTGAGTGCTGTTATTCTGTTGGGTTTTGTTTTTTGTTCTGTTTGTTTGTGTTTAATTTACAACAGGGTAGGTGCTCGCGGGGAGAAATGGGGGAACTGGAAAGTCACCTCGCAGTGGACGGGCACGCCGCAGTCCCTTCTCCAGTCTCCTCTCAGGGTTTGGGCACTCACGCACGGGCGCCGGTGCGATTACCAAGCGGCCCCGTCGGGCTCACGCTGAGCAGTCAGCCACATGGATCCAGCCACCTTAGCTGCCACGCCCCCACCTGGCCTTGATGGTCATATTTTAAGCATAGTTGCAAAATTCGGCTAAATCCACTTCTCCAACTCAGAGAGAAGAATGTATTTTTGGCTTTTTAATAGAATGGCTTTTATGGTTTAAATCCAGACCTTTGTGTCTTCCCTACCCATTGGTAAGGTGGCAGAGGGGCCGCGGTCAGATCAGACTTGAGGAAGAAATGGCCGAGTGCAGGGTTTGGGGTAAACCACGTCCCCTGCCTCCAGCCTTGCCTGAGTTCCTCTGACCGTGCCCACTCCTCCCCCATAAATCTGCGTGCCTCCCCTGTGCTCTAGTGCCCGCGAGTGACGACGAGGAGGAAGTCGTGCTTTTTGACAACTCTGGCAAGTCAGCCGCAGACCCCTTCGACTCGTCGTCCGGGTCAGTGCAGCTCATCGCCATAAAACCCACAGCCCTGGCCCCAGCCCAGCCCGGCCCGGACAGGCAGGAGCCCGCGGCGGTCCTCAACGGCGAGGTGAGTGTCCTGGGTCTGGCAGACCTTGGGGACTGGACCAACGGGCCGCCCTGGGAGGGCAGGGTGCAGAATGCACGCAGTTGCTGCAGGTGTGCGGTCGTGAGTCACCGGCCTGACCCGACCCTCCTAGGCATGCTGTCAGAGCATCTGTTGTCACCGGAAAGCCCGGAGGGAGCTTCCAAATGCCATGCTGTCTCTGGAATCTTCTAGCACCGTGGTCATGCAAAGACACCTCAGGCGCTCTGCTCCCTGCACCCACCACCGCACCGTAGTCTTTTGCCTTTCTCGGTAACAGTTGCCAGCTTCCCCTTCGGAATGCTGGCGGTGGTGAGGACAGGAGGGGCTCGAACTGAGGCAGACCCAGAGAATATACTGACATGTGAATGGGAGTGTGGCCCACTGGCTGCTCCCAGAAGGGTATCAGTGCACACGTGGAGTGAACTCACTTTCCTAGGAGTCTGAAACTAACGTAGGCCCTAGAGTGAGAATCGCCTCAGAGAGTGAGAGAGATGCGGGGGGGCGGCGGGGGAGGGACAGGCTGGCAGGCGGGGAGGCGATTCGGAGATCACAGGTGAGAGCCGGCCAGGTGGGTGGAGAGATGATGACGGGTCAGGGTAGGGAACAGAGGGAGAGGGACCCACAGATGGCGCAACGGTTGCAGTGCTGGACTCCCTCGTAGTCGACCGCCATCCGAGGCCTGGACCCAGTGGCTTAAACTCAGGCTGGGCACATGTATGTATGTGCCCAAAATCCCGAGAGGAGAATGAAAGAGAAGGGATTATGGCATGGCCATCCCCCCCAGGAGGTGAATTCTCACTTTCCTCTCTGTCTCTGTGGCAAGCGCACATGCCCTGTAGCAAAAAATATCTCTCTGGGAAAAAAAAAGGAAGGGAAGGGAAATGGATGGACAGACAGGTGATGGGCAGTGGCTGATGGAAGACGGGAAGACGGGTGGGCGGGCAGGTAGGAGATGACTGACAGGCGGGTGGGTGGTCTAGAGTCAGAGGAGGCGGAGGAAGGACGGGCACAGGCAGGCCCCCAGGGAGGGAGGGCAGGAAGCCAGGTCCCCGCGGCCACTGCTCCGTCCTCTGCAGGGAACAGCCAGTGGGCTGCAAATGCCTAGGAACCTTTGAGCACACGCGTGTAGGACCAGCTCGTGGGCATTTACGTCACAAGTGTGTGTGCATGCACTGGCACATACCGCGTGTGCTTTTCTCTGCCGTCGAGCTGTCAGGGGGACTGTCCATCTCATGGCATATGCCCTGCCGTTGTCCCAGCAGCAGGTGGGGTCGCCAGGGTTAGTCTTCCTCTCAGGGTCCCTGGAGGAACGCACCACAGCCCTGCACGCCCGGTCTGTGAACGCGTGTCGGAGCCCCTGGAGGACACGCCGCAGCCCTGCACGCCCGGTCTGTGAATGCGTGTCGGAGCCCCCGGAGGACACACCGCAGCCCCGCATGCCCGGTCTGTGAACACGTGTCGGAGCCCCTGGAGGACACGCCGCAGCCCTGCACGCCCGGTCTGTGAATGCGTGTCGGAGCCCCCGGAGGACACACCGCAGCCCCGCATGCCCGGTCTGTGAACACGTGTCGGAGCCCCTGGAGGACACACCGCAGCCCTGCATGCCCGGTCTGTGAACACGTGTCGGAGCCCCTGGAGGACACGCCGCAGCCTTGCACGCCCGGTCTGTGAATGCGTGTCAGAGCCCCTGGAGGACACACCGCAGCCCTGCACGCCAGGACTGTGAACACGTGTCGGAGCCCCTGGAGGACACGCCGCAGCCCTGCACGCCGGGACTGTGAACACGTGTCGGAGCCCCTGGAGGACACGCCGCAGCCCTGCACGCCGGGACTGTGAACGCGTGTCGGAGCCCCTGGAGGACACGCCGCGGCCCTGCACAGTGGGTGTGGAACGTGTGTCAGGCCCACCCTCACTACCAACCAGGCCCCAGGTGCAAACGCTTTGCAAACCGGGTCCCCGTTTGCTGGATATGAAGACTGAGTTGGCCTGAAGGCGGATGGGTTGGACTTCACCGATTTCTAGAAGCTTACAGAGCACGTGTTCCATGCTCCTCACTTTAGACAAACGGAAGCCTAAGTGCCCCAGAGGCTTGCTCCAAGCCACACTCGGGTTATTGTGGCAGTCCTGACGGCCAGCTCCAGCGTTCCCTCCCGTCACTGGAACGTGGCGTTGGCTTAAAGGGGAGTCTGAAGCCAGGTCGCGGGGTGAGTCCAGCTCCCCTGACTGTGACGCACGGCAGCTATTAGCTGCTCAGTGCCCAGTATGTCACATGGAGCAGAGCGGCCGGGTCAACCCTTCCTCGTCCCCATTGTCGCTGCCGTTCAGAGGGCTGGGAGGAAGGGCCGGCTGGCTGTGTGTTTAACGCCCCTTGGCTCTATCATTTGCCATGCCGGAACCAGCCCGACCTCTGAGTCTATCCCCTGTGTAGCCAAGCCTCCTGGGTTGACATGGCCGGACGTGTAGCTGCACTTAATAAGGACCTTCCACCGAGTGCTGGACCCACACAACGGCCGCTTCGCCTGTGTCATATCAGCCTAGCGCAGTGAGGCCAGCGTCAGAGACAGACGCCAATCCGAGAGACTCGGCTCGCCACGCCCTTCTCTCAGGCCTTCCCTCTCATGTCCTCTTCCTCTAAGACCCTTCTCCCCTCAGGCCCTTCTTTACTTAGGCCCTCTTCCTCTGAGGCCCTCTCCTGCCAGTCCCCTCTCAGTCCCCTCCTCAGTCCCCTCCTCAGTCTCCTCTCAGTCCCCTCCTCAGTCTCCTCTTAGTCCCCTCCTCAGTCCCCTCCTCTCAGTCCCCTCTCAGTCCCCTCCTCTCAGTCCCCTCCTCTCAGTCCCCTCTCAGTCCCCTCTCAGTCCCCTCCTCAGTCCCCTCCTCTCAGTCCCCTCTCAGTCCCCTCCTCAGTCCCCTCCTCTCAGGTGTGTCGCCCTGTGGCAGAGGAGAGCAGATGAGTATTTTCCTGCCCAGACATGGGCTCTCGCTACCCGCTGCTAGTGGAAGCCGGGGCTCGCCACGCTTGCTGGGACGGTGGCCCAGCCCGTCTGCATGACCTGCTGCTCTGTGTTGGTGGACATGGATATTTCACGATTTTTTCCTGCTGTTTTACGCGTGTTGGTTATGAAGGACGCATCGTCCTGGAACTGTGCCTTTTCCTGTGTGAGTCCAGGACATCCTTTTCAAGCGTATTTCGAAGCACACCTAATAGCAGTGTAGGAAGTTCCGAAACGTGGCGTGTCGTCCTCGTCCTGCTCCTTACGTGGCACGGTCATCTGCTCGCGTCCCGGCAGGTCAGGGTGTGCCGGGCTGATCCTCTCTGAGCACAGGCCGGAGTGGCCTGTAGAGCAGGGCTCGCGATGCGGGGCCCACACGAGGTTCCCGAAGGACTCGGTTACAGAACACGCCTGGCGTGCAGGTTGGCGGGGTGGAGAGGCCTGCGGGGAGGTGTCTGCCCCCAACTCAGCCTCTTCGGGAGCTCTTACCCGAGCTGGGCTCCCGGTGCAGGCCAGCTGAGGCTGTCGGGCTCCAGGCTGGAGCCACGGTCAGGACACGGAGAGCTCACCAGACGCCGAGTCCGAGGGCCAGGCCAGAGCAGGGCGGGCAGGCTGTGCCTTAACCCAAGCACACGGAGTCAGGCCCCGGCCACGGCAGTGCTGGGCAGACTCCAGGAGACCCCGTAAAGGTCCCATGGCACGCAGGTAAGCGCCACGTCCACCTTGCTCATGGGCCACTGTGTGGCGGGGGCCAGAATGGGGCACAGGTGGGTCTGACTGACTTGGGAGCAACGCCGAGGCCTGAGGGGACTTCCCCAGAGACTGTGCCCTGCGATGGTGAATGTCCCCCATGTGCAGCGTGCTGGGTCAGGTTCGGGCCTCACACCGTCTCTCTGCAGGTGAACAAAGCCCTGAAGCAGAAGTCGGACATCGAGCACTACCGGAACAAGCTGCGCCTCAAAGCCAAGAGGAAGGGGTATTACGACGTCCCCCCGGGGGAGACCAGTAAGGGTCTGAGTGAACGGAAGAGGATGTACGAGAAGGCCCCGAAGGACGTGGAGCACGTCTTGGATCCAGACCCGGAGCTACGCCCTCCGTTTGCTGAGTCTAAAAACAGGTGCAGTCCCTGCGGGATCCTCTGGGTGGGACGAGGGTGCAGTGTGGCCGGGTCCTGGTCCCTGGATCTGGACCTCAGGTCTGTGGTCCTTGCAGGCCGCTACTCAGGGCAGGTCAGTACAGCCAGATCTCCCTCCTGAGTCTGGAGGATAGTGAAATTGAGCCACTGAAAAAGCGCTCGGCCAAACCCCATAACTGTCCTGTAGCTTATGGTATTTTCAATCCAGGAGCTCCTTCAGAGCTGGCTGAAGGTTTGGCCATCACCTACCTAGTTTCGCAGCGTCCAGATCAAGGGACAGAGCACACTTCAGTTATTTTGGGGCCCTGGCACGAGGGAGGCAGATTGTGTGCAGCCTCGGTAGGTCCTTCCTGCCAACAGCGCAGGGCCTCGGTGGCTCATCTCAGCACTGCGGGCGGAGAGGCCTGCTCGGTTTGACACTGCTCAAGATGCAGAAAACTGCCAGGGCCTGCCAGCCTCTGTCCTTCCTTCCTTCACTCCCTCAACCTTCACAGTGCACGAGAGAGCCTGATGGCTGTGCTTGTGGGATTGAAGGGCTGATGGAGAGAGAAAACTCATCTCCCCAGAATGACCGGCCACATGCCCTGGGGGTTTGAAGAGGCGGTGCCGTGCCAGTCTGAAAGGAGGGCCTGGCCCCGTGAGAAGGGCTGGGCCGGCACTCACACTGGCCTCTCGGTCTGCTTTTGCTGCTATAACAGAATCCCTGAGACTGGGCACTTGGTAACAAACAGACGTTTTCTCAGGTGCTGGAGGGTAGGAAGTCCAAGATTAAGATCGCATGGTGGGAGGGCAAGAGGGTCCAGACTCACCCTTTTATTTTTATCTTATTTTATATTTTTAGTTCACTATAGGGACACGTGCACTCACTGGAGAGAGGCAGGGAGAGAGAGAGAGAGTGAGGATGCACTTGATGGCCACACCACGTCCCTCCTCCGACCTCTCAGGGTTTCAGACACATGCTCGTATGAGCCCAGCACATTCCTCAAGCCGTCGGGTCTGGGGCTTGAACTGCGCAGTCAGCTGTATGGGATCCAGCAGCCTTAACCACTACACCAGCTGACTGGCGCCAAACACATCCTTTTGTAATAGCATTAATCTCACCCGTGAGGACAGAGTCCTCAAAAGTCCCACCGCCCAACACTGCAGCGGCGGCGGCAGCGGCGGCCATGCTCCGGCGTCCTGCCAGCTCCGCTGCCGATGTAACAGGGTGGCCTCAGTCCGGGTGACAAGTCTGTTTTCTCCCTGTTCCACCTGCCTGGATCATTCCCAGGATCTGAGGCCACGCCCTCTCTCCTTGGCCACACCGCACTAGCCCTGAGCTTGCAGGCACTCTGCCCCACCCGGGCGTGGCAGACGCATGCTCTGCAGTCGGGGCATGGCAGGGCAGCTCCTGGCCTGAGTGGGTATTTACTAGGAGCGAAAACGACTGTCCAACGGGCTTGACTTGAAGCCACAAGGCCACACTAGAGGCAGGGCTAAATTCTGTAAATCGAATGAGCATCTATTTTCAGTAACCAAAAGAGGGTTCTAAACGCGTGCTTAATTGCCTTACTCGGTTAGACTTACTGCAGACACGCCACGAGGAGACTCACGGTGCATGTGCACCGCGTCGGTGGCTGTGGGGGGGACGAGTGAGGGCCGTGCGGGAGACCGGCTGCTCTGGCGCACGCTTGGCACCGGGTCCCTTACCTCTGGGGCCTTGTAGTGACCAGGGTAGGAGCGAGTTCCCTAACTGTCCACTGACGCCCAGGGAAATCGAATGGAAAGGGACACCTAATTAGGTAGGAGGAACTTAGCCTGGAAATTACTGGAGAAACAAAAATGTCAGTTTTTGCTTTTTATGTAGAGAGGATAAACAGAACTTTACTTCCAGAGAGGGTCAGCTCTATTCCTAGCACTGGCTGAGGACGGATTATTATTTCATCTTTTACATTTGCCACAGGGTGTGTAATACTCACAGGGGCAGGAGGTGAGAGAGGAAGTGAGAAACCCTCCCCTCAGAGACGGCCCCACCACAGTCCTCTCTCCGCCCTCTCTCCATCCTCCTGGATTTTGAGCACGCACACATGACTGGTGTGTCCTCCAAGTGGCCAGTCCAAGATTTGAACCGTGGAGTTGGTCAAGCGTGTTCCAGCTGCCTTAACCACCACGCCACCTGCTACCCTTTTATAATAGTTCTCACAGCTCTCTCTTTTTTTTTTTTTTTGGAGAGGTTTTCACTATAGGGCGCGTGCGCTTGCCAGACAGACAGAGAGAGACATAGAGACAGAAAGCGAGAAATCACCCCCCAGGGGGGCTGGTCACGCCGCAATCCCTTCTCCTCCATTCTCCTCTCGGGATCTTGGGCACGCACGCACACGCGCCCGGCATGAGTTTTAAGCCACTGGGTCTGGGACGCGAACCGCGGTCGACTACGTGGGAGTCCAGCGACATAGCCATTACGCCAACTGCTGGCTCCCTCTCTCTTTTTAATTGGAAGAACACCCACTTTATGTTACGAACTCCAACGCAGAGGTAGAAAGTGCCTGGCAGGACTGAGGCTGCCCCCAGCCGTCACTCGCAGGCTCGCAGCACCATGAGGGCCGGCAGCTTCTGTTCCCGCAGGTCAGACTCCCAGGCTTTTCTCTGCAGCCACCTGTGGAGGCTTCGGGCCATTCCTGTACTGTGGAGCACCCTGAGGCAGTGACAGATGGGGCCTGACAGGCACTTGCGGGTATAGGCTGCACCGCTGTGTGAACAGGGTCTTCTTTCTTAGGTTTTTGTTGTAGGGTACATGCACTCACCAGAGAGAGACAGAGAGAGAGTGAGAAATCACCCCCTGGGGGGATGGCCACACTGCAGTCCTTTCTCCATTCTCCTCCCGAGACCTTGGGCACACACACACACGCACCCCAAGTGATTTTTAGCCACCAGGTCCAGGACTCGAACTATGGTCGACCATGTGGGAGTCCAGTGATGGCCCGCCCAGAGTGATTTTCAAGCCAGCAGGTCAGGACTTAAAACTGTGGTCAGTCATGTGGGTCCAGCACCTTAATGACCACACCACCTGCCGGGCCTTACCGTGTCTTCTAATTTCAGTAATGATTTGCCATCTGGGCCTTACTGACCCCAGAGAGACCCGGTCCCCAGGGCACCCAGCTTCTAGTGAGGATAGACAGCTCACCTGCAGTGTACCTGTCAGTCAAAGCCCACACCCGGCGCCTTTGGTCTTCTGGGGTCCCACCCTCCAGGCCACTCTCACCACCGCCCCCCACCTGCCCTCTTCACCCAGGGCCAGGGAGGACAATGTGGGCAGCCGCGGGCACAGGTTGCCCTCTAACCTCACCTTGCACTCCTTTCCATGGGGCCCAAGACAGACTTTAGCCTGTGTTCCCCTCGCTCCTCTGCCTCCTGGCTGACCCTGCTGCTCACCACGTGGACCACTGGGTAGGGCCTGTCCCCTCCTCCGGGAGCTATGATTCTAATGAAGCACCTTTTGGGTGACAGTTGCATCCCTGTCTATCAGTCTTGGTTCTTGCGAGTCCCGGAACCTCACTTAAATGGCTGCCCCCCACTCTCCTGCAGCGAGCCGAGCTCCAGCCCAACTCCGATCTGCCCATTGTCCTCCTGCTCTCATGTCCCCCCTCCCAGATAAAGCCTGGCACTGCCCCATCACAGAGCTGCTGGGTACAACCCCCGGCGTTGACCACAAACCGCAGCAAGCAGGTCGGAGCTGCTCGGATGGAGGGAGGCCACTCCTCTCAGTGATGCCGGGCCATCTCTGCAGGACCCCAGGGTTCCAAAGGACACATTGAGAGCTACTTCCTTAAACTATACTGGGGTTAGACATGCAAAGAAGCCCAGCCGTGGGGGCACACTCTGAGTGCGCCCATGAGCTGGGACCACAGGGAAGCCAAATTCAACTCCTGGACCAACCTAGAGCCTCGGCATGGTGGTGTGCCTGTGGTCCTGCGACTCGAAGAGCCTAGGGTGGGAGAATCAGATGCTCGTGATGAGCCCAGACAGCTTGGAGAGACCCTGCCTGAGAAAGAGCGGGCAGGGCCGGGCCTGGCTCAGGCTCCAGCTGGCGGCTGAGAGGCTAAGGCAGGAGGCCAGACACAGCCAGACCCTGTCTAGACAGAACAAGACCATGAAACCCAAGTAGCACTCTTGGTTGTCTACGCAGCAAGGCTTTTCAGAGGCAAAATCTCCTCAAATTTGCACGTTTCCAAATTCATTAACTTCTTAAAAATGTAGCCGAATACCTGCAGGAAGTCAGCACACCCAACGAGCTCTGTGAAGTACGTGGCTGCTCTACCTGAGAGCCCAGGTTATTTCCAGATAGACGTGGCCCTGGCCTGCTGCCGTCTGGCTGGTTGGGCCGTGGTGAACAGCCCCGAGGCTGTATGTGATGGTGATCTCTGAGGGCAAGCGGCCGGTGCACACCGCATGGTTCTGAGAAGGGCCTACCCAGTCCCTCAGAGTGTCGCGCACACTTGCAAAATAACCAAGTGCCACGCCAGGCGCTGCCCCAGGTGCTCGCTCCGCCCGCACCTTATCAGTCAGTCTAAGTGGGCTGGCAGGCCAGTGCAGGGCAGTCGTGAAGTCTGGTTCTGTTTTGTTTCAAAAGATGACTTGTAATCAGGCCAAGGATGAGAACTCGTTGGGCTCTGCCTGAAAAGGCAAATCATTCAGAACGGCTTCTGTCCGCCAGCTCACTGAGGTTGTCAGCCTCGCTCAAGGAAGCTGCAGACCTGCGGGGACAGCAGCTGTGAGCCCTCCTTGTCGGCATCCTTGTGGGTGCAGGTGACAGCGATGCAGCATGAGCTGGGGCAGGGCTGCACCGTGAGCCTTGTTGAAGTCAAGCACTCAGTGCCCAACTCGGGCCGCGGGGGCCCAGTATCTCCCACGGCCGCTCAGATGGGCTCCTACCTCACGGTGGCAAGCTGGCTGCCAGCAGCGCCAGGCTTAGGTCAGCCTTCCTAGAAACCCCCGGGACAAGACAAGACCCCTTTCCCGGTTTCCCTAGTGAAGTCCCTAAGACGCAGCCTCGGCCCACCGAAGCGTCACTATGGCTGTGTGGCCATGGGATGCTGAGCCTGGCCCAACCTCAGTCACATGCCCACCCCTGGCTGAAGGAAGCCCGAGGATCACCACACTGCTCCAACTGGACTGAGTGCTCCTGGGCACCACACGAGGCCACAGGGGCTCTGAGCAGCTCATGGCCTCCGGAGAGGGACCAGGCCTGCCTCTTCTCTTTATTCCCAGGCTGGCTGCTTTCCCTTTCTCTTCCTTCCTTCCTTTCTTTCCTTCTCTTTCTTTCTTTCCTTTCCTTCCTTCCTTTCTTTCTCTTTATTCTCTCTTTCTCTCTCTCTCTCTTTCTCTCTTTCCTTCTTTTTCTCTTTCTTTCTCTCTTTCTTTCTTTCTTTCTTTCTTTCTTCCTTCCTTCCTTCCTTCCTTCCTTCCTTCCTTCCTTCCTTCCTTCCTTTCTCTCTCTCTCTCTCTCTCTCTCTCTCTCTCTCTCTCTTTCTTTCTTTCTTTCTTTCTTTCTTTCTTTCTTTCTTTCTTTCTTTCTTTTTCTTTTCAGATAGATTTTTGCCATAGGGCACATGTGCTTGCTGGAGAGACAGAGAGACAGAAAGTGAGAAATCACCCCCCACTGGGGGGTGGCCACGCAGCAATCTCTTCTCCGTTCTCCTCTTGGAATTTTGGACACACACATGTGCCCAGTGAGAGTCTCAAGCTGCTGAGTTCAAGGCTCGTACTGCCACGTGGGAGTCTAGCACCTTAACCATCACACCTCCTGCTGGTCCCCTCAAGGCTGATTTCCAGGGCAGGGCTTTGCCTTTGGGTTCTGCTGTCTGTTCAGACGGTGGGACTCTAATCCTGTGATAGCTCACTGTGTCCGGGAAGAAGTGCGCGTACCTGCCGGGCTCTGGCTCCCGTGTGGCCACTGGGGGTAAAGAGCCCAGCTCTTCTTCCACTCGTGAAGAGCTGGCACCTTAGCACAGAGGATAACGGGTGGCATTTGTTCTCTGAAGACAGATGGTGTGGAATGCACACTTCCACAGAGAGACACACCGCAGGACCAGCAGGGAGTGTCCCTCGTCACTGCAGGATCGCGTGGCCCCCTCCGTGGGGCCTCACTGCTCCGCGTAGACCTCTCACTGTGGAGGAAGCACAGCCACCTTCCTAGCTGTGCCGCTGTACTGATGGGGAAAAGGAGACCGTGGTGTGCGGGAACCGGCATGCTGGAGGTGGCCGCCCGGAGCTCAGCGAGTGCTACTGCTGAGCCTAAAATGTTCTCCACGCAGACGGGCATGTGGCCGACTCCTTAGGGCTCAGTGAAATGTCACCTTCTCAGGCTGTCATGTCTACAGTGGTCCCATCCTAGTCACCTTCCGTCACAGACCCTGTCTTTGGGTTGACTTGTTAACGTGAATGACAGGCCGGGGTCCCCTTCCTGCAGCTGGATGGCTGGTTCTCCAGCACCGGCTGCTGGAAAGACTCTGTCCCCCCTGCAGATCCTGGCTCTTTGTCGAAGCTCTGCTGGTGCCTGTTTTCCTCCATGCACTGAGCACTCTCCAAGACAATGCGAATGTCTTCCTCGTCAGATCTGGACAGCCGGGCCATGTCGCTCTCACTCCCTCGGGCACCCCCGGTTCCTGAGCAGAAGGCTCTCGGGATGGATTGACCGAGGCACTCACACCACTCCCTAGGGGAATCCATGTGATGATGGTAGAAGTGAAGTCGGGGCTCGGAGGTGGTGTAGTAGCACTGGAACACACACTCTGGGGGCCGACCCCGGGAGGTTCTGGGTCCACATCCCCAGGCCTCCCTGAGTACACTGGCAGTGTGCATGCCCGGGACCCTGGCTGACTGAGGCTGAAGTGGATCACGGCGTCAGGATCCTGTTGGGGCTGTTGTCTGTCTCTGTCTGTCTGTCTCTGTCTCTGTCTCTGTCATCTCGCTTGCTCATGGAAGAAGTAAACAAAAAACAAACTGTGTCAGCACTCCCAACCTTTCACATCCCACTAGCTGGAGGGTTTATTAACACATCGAATCCTGCACGTGGTGTCAGAGATGGACAGGGACGGGAGGCTCTGTGTTGAGGAAGACCGAGGCGGGTGGCCCGCCTGGCGTGGCCGTGCCGAAGCACCCAGGACCCTTGCCTTTAGCAGGGTTCTAGATGAGGCTGCAGTGTGGCGGTGAAGTGTGGTTACCTAGTTCCAAATGAAAGAGCACTTGCAATTCAGCCGAATGGGAAAAAAGAAAAAGAAAAACCCTCCATCCCCCTCTTTCCACAGCCCCTCCCCAGAAGGCAGAGCCGTCCACACTGAGGCTTCTGAGGCAAGTCGTGGCCCTGCGTCGCCGCCTGTTGGGATCAGAGAATCCCATCTGTCAGGGCATTTGCTGCTTCGTAACAGTTGTGGAATTTTCTCAGGCAACAGATGAAGAGCTCCGTCTACCGAAGCCGGCAGTCTCTGAACAGCCCGAGTCCCGGGGAGACCGAGATGGACCTGCTGGTAACACGGGAGCGGCCCCGGCGTGGGATCCGGAACAGCGGCTATGATGTGAGTCTGGCAGTGGGGTGGCCCTGGGGGCCCCGTGTGCTGCGGAGCTGGGGGTTAAAGTGCACTGTTCTGTTCTGTTCATGACCGGTTTGCAAAGTAGGCCTGCTCGGAATGCCAGTAACAGCACTGCCGGGGGGTGCCGGGAGTGAGCCTACGCAGGACGCACATTCCTGGCCCCACAGCGGAGGGTCTCAGTGATCTTGGTGTCCCCTCGGCCCTCAGAGGCTCAGCAGACAGCCTGGCCGTGGGTTATGACCATCTGAGCCTGGGCGTCCCTGACTCCGTGGTGACGGGGAAAGCTGGATCTGTTCCCGATTTCATAGCTGCTCAGTCTGCCTTGGAAACAGTGAGATTCCTGAGAGTGGCTCGAGGATTCCCGTGACAAAGCACACGCGTGCTCCCGGGGTACCCATGCCATGCGATTCTTCCAGTCCCTTGGCCTCCCCCCGAGGGCGGGCTGCAGCCTGACACTTCCTGTGATTAGTAGGGGTGCCTTGGGGCTCGGGGGCACTGTTGAGCCGAGAGGGTCCATGACCTTGGCCCTGCCTGGAATCTCAAGTGGTCTCGCATCTAAGGTTCTGTGGAAACGCTTCTCTCGTGGTCCCCTACAGGGTTCTGTAGTTACAAGTTAAAACCTCCTATAACAAGAGTTATAATTGAAATATATCTGGGTAAACATTTTTTTTTTTTTTTTTTTTTTTTCGGGGGGTTTTGCGGTGGGGGGAGGGGGCTGCTGG